TGCTTAATAAAATTATGGAACTAAAAATGGAACATAGCGATTATATTTTATTGCAAATTATTAAAACATTATATTTCAGTTTTTGTGCTATACCAAACATAAATGATAATATATTAATAGAAATTAAATTAGTATATTTTCATTTTTTAATAATATTACTTAAAAAAGTAATAAATAGTCGAATGTTTGATCTTCAACTTAGTTTATCATGTTTATTTATGTTATCTGATTCTGAAGCATGTAAATGGATTTCTTCTATTTGCAAATCGTAAGTATCTAATGTGAATATAATATAAAAATAATAATTAATGTAAAAATATTTTTTAGATTTCAATCAGATTACACTCGACATTTAAGAATAACAATGCTTGGATATGAATATTTTTATTTAACAAAAAATCAAACTTTGCAAACATTTAAAAATAATAAAATATTATATTATTGGGCACAAAAGTTATCTAAATATTTAGTTTCATATAAAGGTAGAAATCAATTTATTATTTCATCTTTTATCATATATAGAATATCCAGAAAATGTAGAAATACAATTAACTGAAGATTTCTAAAGTAATTTCAAGTAATATTTTTCTTTACAAAAATTCTTGTTATGATTTTGTTAAAATTATTTATAAATTATTAATTATTATTTAAAAATATTGACTCATGGAGTATGAAAACAAATGAACAATTTATTCATTCTATACGAATGATAATTAATTAATTATTCATTATTCTTAAATAAAATATAATTCGATATGATTTTGTTTCAATAAAAAAATATTTTTTATATTCAACAGATTTTCTTAGAGATACATTGCTTCTCATGCTTGGCATATATCTAACGTTTGACTAATTGTAATTACCCAATTTTTTGTTAATAATTTAATGAAATCATAACAAAAATAAGTTAATAAAATCATAACAAAAATTTTTGCAAAAGAAAATTACTTGAAATTCAAGAATTTTTAGTTAATTGATATTCCCATTTTTGAGATACATATACGCATACGCTTAATAAAAAAAATGTAATATTTATATATACAGAAATCCTAACAAGTGATTCAGTAGCTAAAAGGGAAATATTACAACGTATTATGAGTTATGATGAAGATCTGATCCCTTTATTTCAAGAATTTTGTTTTGATTTTGGTTTTGATATCCAAGATTGTTTATTACTTTATCTACAAACAATAATAAAAACATGGAATCCAAAATTAAATATAAGCAATTTTAATGGGAAAAAAGGTAAAATAATTCAAAAATTAATTTCATTTCATATTTTCAACATCATAATTATGTTTTTAGAATTACATATTAATGAAGATGATGTAAATCAATTAAATAAAAAATGTAATTCTATTACTGCCTATATCTTGGATAAAGTTGCTTTAAAAAATTGGGTTACAATGATTTTTTCACAAGTATGAATAAAAATATCATTTCTATTAACATTATAATAAATATAATATTTCAAAATTGTAAATTCATTATTTCAGATAAATTTTTACCATTATGAAATATTTATAATTCTTATGGATCTCATAGAAGATAAAAATATTGAACATAGAAATTATTTATGTTTTTTACAAAATTATATTCGCACTGGGTAAGTATATTTAAAATATTAAATAATATTTTGAAGTTGATGTTTATTATTATTTAAATATTATATATATATCATATTTTTTTTAGTCCACCTACACAAATAGAATATGATGAATGGATACATTTAAATCCAGGATATACATCCTTACCATTTATAGCAGAATGGCGGTTACCTTTTTTACCTAAAATTGAATTATGGAAACTTATAAGTAAAATTTCTTCATTACATTTACTTTATTAAAGATTTGTCAGAGATTTTTAAAATCTGATATTAGAATTTATAAAATGAAAACTTTTAGATATAAATAATTTCCAATATTTTTATCTGCATTCATTAGAGATTAAGTAATTCGTTAATAATGTATATATTATGTATTATTATATTATTCGATTTTTGATAAAGCAAGTTGTAATGCTAGTATAAACTTATATTAAAAATACAATTTATACTGAAAATTTTAATATAAATTCTATTTATTTTCTTTTAACGAATAGTTTAATGAATAGAAATTTAATAAAATATACAAAATTGTATATAATTATCTCTTAATATTAATACAATTTCAGCTCCTGAATTAAATTTGAAAACTTATGAAAAATGGTTAGATATTGCTGCTATTCTTAAATTACAACCTCATATTATATGTACTTTAGCTATAAAAGGTGAAGTAACACATATTTGGAAAAATAAACACAAAATAGCTAAATGGTCTCTTTCTTCAAAAAATAAAAGCTTATTAAATCATATAAAAAAATGTATAGAAAGAATGACTGGTCCAGATGCACTGTATTATGGCACTGCAGCATTATATTATGTTGTAAATCATACACCATCAGGTATTTTATATATTAATAATACTATTTTATCAGAAAAATATGTTAAAAATAAAATAAATTAAAATAATTCATTTTTTATTAGGAGCTGATCAAGTAGCAGCAGTTGAAGAATGTTATAAGTATGCACAATTATCAGCTAAAAAATCTATGATGTTTGAAGAAGGAATGTTAGAAGTATATTTTTTGTTTTGTTTTTTTTTATCTTGATATATATTTTTAATATAATAATTTAATTTTCATAAATATTTTCTTTTTTGTTCTAGAAAATAAAAGTTAAATATTTACGTTTTACATCGGAACATATTTTACATGTACATGGTTTGGCCAATAAAAAGTATTTGTCATTAATCGGAAATCCGAATAAATTAGTCTATGAATTATATACAGATGAAAGTATACCTCAAAGATATCGATGTGTTATTGATCATAGACCTGATATAAATTCGGCAGTTAGTTCAATTAGTCAGTTATTTTCTATTAATTTGATAAAATTACGAATAGAATTATTACAAGAGTGGTTACAACCAGATACTAAATATATGAAATTTAATCAAAGTATAACAGAAACATTTCCAGTAATGACAAATTTAGAATCGAATTTAAATTGTGATGATAAATTATTGAGGTATATCATATAATATTAATATATTTGAAATATTTTTTTCTTACATATATTATGTAAATATTTAAACATCAATATTATTTTCAGAGCATGCTATATTTTAGAATATGGAGATCTTGAATTATCAGCTAACTTTCTTATAAATATAGGTTTTAGTGAAAAAAATGAAGATTATAGTCCAGAAGTTCGTTATAGAGCTCTTTGTGTATTACAATCTATAGTTGATACTGCTAAATTAGAAGATTTAATTAAACGAGATTACCAAACAATTAAGTAAATATTTTATTTCTAAATTATTTCATATTATTTATCAAATAAAATTAAAAAATTGTTATTATTTTGTTTTATATAATACTTTTAAATAATTCTATTTCAGAAACTATATGAGATCTTTGAAATATATAAGTAAATTGGAATTGTTAGGAATAGGATATAGTATAAATACGTTTGAAATGTGTTCTAAACATGAACTTATACAAATTTTATGGAAAACACAAAATTATTCACCACAAGCCCTGATTATTATTGCACAACTTTGTATAGATTTTGAAATATATGAATATTCTCTCTGGGACAAAAATTTAACTAAAATGGCTAAATTATTAATGGTAAATATCATTAATATGTCATTAAAGTAATAAAAAAAAATTAATATATTTTTATTATATTTGCAGATTAATGAATTAAAAATAATTTTATTACAAGTACAAAATATAAACACCATTGTAAATTCTAATGGATATTTATTTGGATGGGAAGTAATAATTTCAGAACCTTTCAAAAAAATGGATATGAATCCGACTTCTGAACAAATTGAAAATTGTATTGAAGCTTTACAACTTTTATATTCATGTCCAGTTTTATATGCATTAAATTTCTCTAACATCATAAAATATTGTTTTCAATGTCAGCAATTACATTTAGTACTTGCATTTTTACCATTTTTAAATGATGATGATACAATATATGTTTTGGAAGTAAGTATTTTTATATTTTATTTAACTAATAAAATATTACGTATTAATTATTATTTTATATATCAATCTATATATTATTCATACATATCATACATATTTACATTCTATCTTTTATAGAAAATTAAATGCACATCTAATATTACAAAAATATTAGAAAATTTGAATAACTTATGTTCAAGTGGAATACTTTGCACAGCTTATGTAAGTATACTAAATATTATTTTATATAAATGTAAAATATAATTTCAAATTGAATATTTTTTTCAGTGTAATAAAATTATAGAACATACATTAACAAACATGAATAAACATTCAATAAAATATGAATAGCTTTTGTTTTAGAAAAATAAATTCTTTTTGAATCA